TTTATCTTGTATTCTACTACATTGAATAATCTTGATCTAACTATTCTGGGGTTCTCTGTGTACGCGAAAACACGAAGATATGCTCGCCTACAACTATGGACACACATCGAGACGCACATACGCGGATATACACAATTCCAGACAAAATTAATCTTGTTGGCACGCACGAAAGAGAAAATTCAAAACCCTCCCTTCTGTGCACAACGATAGTACAGAAATACCTTCTCATTAGTCGTGAAGGAAAAAGCACGTTTAAATCATTGAATATTTAGGCTTGGCTGTGAGAAGAGGGTCGTTGGAGAATTAAGGAGACAAGAATAAATTATTCAATGTGTGACAATCCTACAATGCAGTCAGCATACATGGATTAATATGATGTCTCTTACTTTTATATTATATATATATATATATATATATATTAGGAAATGGACTCCGACATAATTTTAATTATTTTGTTAAACGTTATTTTTTTTCAATGGATTCTCATATCTGAATAGATGTTTTGGTTTTATTTATTTATTAAACAGTATATTTATTTATTTACTTCTACCGGCTTGAATATTCGAGAAATCTTGTTCGAAAAATATGCGGGATTCGAACCTGCATCTCCTCGAGAAACTGTCATTAGATGTGCTTTAGACCAACTCAGCCACGTAGGACATCCTGATTAAACAAAGCCTAAATAGTGCTTTTGTCAGTTGTCTGTACCCTGCAATGTACAATCTATCTACGATAACACCATAGTCCTGTACTGATGCACTGTGCCTCCTATATACTATTAAAGAAAGACAACTATGTTTGTATAAGGAATAGAAATCTTGCCAAAGATCTTACACCTTAAATAAGAGAAAATCTTGAACTAGGAAAGAAAAAAGAAACCAAAAGACCGAAAGGAAAACACCTAACGATTTAGTAAAGAAAAGTCCTCAACGCCTAGATTACCTAGACATAGTAAAAAGAAAAAGAAAAACGCTTCACAGCGTTAACTCCTATCAAAGAGCAACTCGAGTTAATGCTAGCGTTTCACGGTCTCGCGATCTTCAGTTAACTAGAAGGCAAATAGATGAAGTCGGAGTCTATGACCGTAACACACTTACTTATTTACATTAGCATCACGGGAAAAATCAAACAAAATAATAATAGGTATTTTATATTATACCTATATACTTATATTTTCTAAACTCTGATTTTTAATTAGCATTCTGTTATTGTTGGTTAGACTTAGTATCGCAAACGTTTCTTCCTACCTCTATCCCGAGTCATTTTTTTTTACACACACACACACACACACATATATATATATATATATATATATATATATATATATATATATATATATATATATATATATAAGCCTGTTTCGCTGCATCACAGCTTATCAGTGTGGCTGGACATCAGAGTGCTTCAAACCGGGATCGAAACTCAACCGATTTGGCATCAGTGAGGGATTTTAACCCTAAGCTACCGGCGCACACCAGAGAAAGGAAATTTTAACGTATTATATACGCAATATATACAAACGCCAGTAGACAAGAGCTCAATTCGTAATTGAAGACCAATGCGTTAATAGCAGCAGAAGCCACTGTTTTGAAATTACTCTTTTCTCCAGAGTGCTCGATCGGATAACGAGAGCATAAATAGTTAAAGACAAAAGGAAAACTTCTTATCTCAGCCGATGTGTTTCCTCTTCTGAGGGACTTTATCAAAGCAAATGTAAGGACTTTATTTTCCAAATATATATATATATATATATATATATATATATATATATATATAAGAACAAACATGTTATTGGTTTTGCAAAATGTTTTGGTAAAGGGGTGCTCATAAACATTCATCAGGTTAACGGAAAAGTAAGGTAAGTTCATGAACGTGAGGTGATACTGTGTACAAGGCCCGAGAGCCACTAGAGGCAGAGGGACAGTTTATATGGATAGAAGGGTAAGATAACGGTTGACTCTTGATTTGAACAGGTTAAGATTTTAGTGATCGGGTAAGCGTCCTTCTGGGAGTCTGTTCCACAGGGCAGTGGTTCGCGGGAAAAGGCTGTTTGAGAATACGGAGAGAATGCGGGGTGGGGTTGCTACTATGTTAGTGGCATGGCGGGTCCTAGGCGTGAAGGTTGGAATTGACGCAACCAAGAAATGTAGTTCGTCCGAGCACTTTCCATGAAACTAGCTATAGAGCAGTGAGAAACGCGTCACATCCCGCCTGTGAGGGAGAGATTGGGTCGGGGGTAGAAAGTAATTCCTCACCCAAAAGAACTCTGGGATGCTTTTAAACTCTATTGAGACTGGAAATTTAGGACTTGGCAGATCCCGCCCAAATATGGCAGCAGTAACCCATTTCGGCCTGATCTGTGTTTTTTTTAGGATAGCATGAGGAGTCAGCTACTTACTGGAGCGGTACAGAAAGCCGATCTTTTTTTTCCTGCATCTTTGGCGATGGATCGTATAGAGGAATACCGCTTGAATTTTAATTTAATTTGCAGAAATTATGA